CCCCGCGTCGCGTCACACCCTTGCGCTCGCCGCCAGAGGGCGCCGACTGCTTGGACTTCGGGCGTGCTTTTTTTGAGATCCCGTCGTCTGTTTCGGCCATCGGGCCCCAGGACCATCAAAAACTGGATCTGGAGGCGAGAAGCTGCCCCTGGAGAACGATCGAGACCTCCTGGGGCCTGCAGGCTGAACAAAGTCAATCCGCTTGAAGTTCGTGTGTGCACCTCCGCCGATCCTGACCAGGCCGATCCTCCTTGGCCCAGCCCCAGATCTTCTGTGTTCCGCAGCCACATGGACTCAACTTTCAGCTGCCCTCCTGGCCAGGCCGGGAGGGTGTACGAATCGGAGCCCAGGCCCAGGGCGCCCGCCCGCGGCCCCGGCGCAGGGCGCGCAGGGGCCTCGGGCCCGCCCCGACCCCGCCATCGAAGAAGCCAAAGCTGCAGAGACACAACCTTTCGGAGACCCGCGCGGACTTCTTGGATCCGCGCCTGGCCCCCCTTGCGCGCGGAGCACGCCAGGGAAGGATGGCTGGCCCGGCGCTGATGCACGGAGACCGCGCGGATCTCCAACAGGGATTTTCGTTTTAGTTTTTTTCGTATACGCCCGCGGCCCCGACGCGAAGCGCGCTGGGGCCGGCGCCCTCCGCTCCGACGCCCGCCCGCGACCCTGTCAGGGGCGCCGACAGGGGGGCGACTGGACCAGTGCGGGGGGAGCACCGAGCCTCCCAGTCGCTCATCCGTCGCCAATCGGGGCCTGGGCGCCCTCCCTCCCCAGGAACGTGCGTTTCTGCAGTCGAGGGCCTGCCGCCGTTCTGCCGGCGGTGCGTCGCCGATTCAGAGTCAATGCCAGCCCTTCCCCCCCCCCCCGGAGACCCCTCCCCCTTCTCGCCCCCCTTCCTCCTGGCGCAGGGCGCACTGGCGCCTCAGCCCCCGCGCCTTTGCTGGGTGGCGAGCCGCTCGCAGCCCGCGCGGGCGCGCGGCGGTCGCGCGCGCGCGGTCGCGCATTCGCGCGCGGGCGCCCGCCTGGCGGCCGATGCGGGGCGTGCGCCGCCCCGCCGCAGCCGCTCGCGGTCGTTGGGCCGCAGCCGCGGCACTCGGCCGAGGCGGTTCAGGGCGGAGCACCAGGGGCGCGGCGTCGGCTGCCTCGGCGCTTCCCGCATCGGGGCAGCGCCATGGCGAGGAGCGGCGCATTCCACCGACCTGGGACCTGCAGGCGACATGCTTAGTGAGGGTCAGTGACCTTCCCTGGGGTACCCTTGCAGCCTCAGGTTTTTCGGCCATTCGTTGCCCGAACGGCTTCAGCTTGGTCGTCCAGGGGTCTTGCATCCTTTCGGCGCATCCTTCCCATCGGTTTTGACAAACATCCCGCGGTGTCGATCTCAAGGGTTCCCTCAGGCTTCTGGGGGCGGGAGCGCATCCCCAAGATCTGTCGTCGCTCTTGTGCCTGTCGATCTCGGGGGCAAGAGATGTGCTCGAGGATGGTCAGGGGAGCTACAGAATGGTACGGCAGGTTCGCGCCGTGCTGCTGACTCTGCGACGACCCCAGCGCGGGCGCGCTTAGACGCAGGCGGCGGCCTGGAATCGGCTGAAGGCCCGCGCCTCTTGTCTTGGCGCTGACCTCTCTGGCGCGTGGAGCGAGCCAGGGGCGGCGCCAGAAGGTACCGCCAAGAAAGTCCGCGCGTATCTCCGACAGTTTATTGCCCAAGCAGTGCTTGCACTTGGGGGTTATGTCTAAGGAGCCGGGCCTGTCTGTCGGTCTGGAGGCTATGTTGTCGCCGTCGCCGCCCCGTCCCTGCTGTCTCGTCGCCGCCCGCGGTCTGAGCCTGCCTGTCGGTCTGGCGGCTATGTTGTCGCCGTCGCCGCCTCGTCGCCGCCTCGTCGCGCCCGTCGTCGGCCTGTCTGTCGGTCTGGCGGATACGTTGTCGCCGTCGCCGCCCCGTCGCCGCCCTAGATTGCACGACGTAGATTGAGACGCGTACTTTGCCCCAAACAGATTGCACAACATACATTGCACCGCATATGGCACCACATACCTTGAACAACATATAGTGCAC